GCAGAAAACAGCAGCTCAAAGTGTGTTGCTCTGCTGTGTTTTCACCTTCATCGGCAGCAGCAAACGGCAGCAGAAAACAGCGGCTCAAACCGTGCTGCTCTGCTGTGTTTTCACCTTCATCGGCAGCAGCAAACAGCAGCAGAAAACAACATCAACATCCAGCAAACAGCCTTGCTGCTTGGTTCTTTGTTCGACAGCATCAACACCAACAGCAGCCCTGCTGTTTTGTTCTTCGTTTCGTCAGCATCAACACCATTAGCAACAGAAAACAGCAGCCTTGCTGCCTGTTTTCCTCGTTCCGACAGTCCCGATCAGCAGCAGGTGAGTCCATTATACCTTTCCAATAGAACCTTATACATGTGAAATGATACAATGTTACCTCCTATGTTATTGGTGAAATCGCTTGCTCGGTAGGAATTAGAGATTTTCCTTTAGATAAATGAATTAGCTTAGGARTCCTGTTTATACTGATAAGAGAAGTGTGGGAAGATGGTCTTAGTTACTTGTTAAGAATACTTATTTAGAATAGTTAAGACCATAAGACTCGTAATTGSAAAATAGGGATATTCCGTTCAGTTAAGGGCACRTGCAAGATCTTAATGTGGAATAGGTATCATTATGTTTAAGGTACTGAATTTAAGTATATGTTCGTTATGTACCGAGTTTTTAAACTTGAAGGTGTTTCTTGTATATGTGTGAAGGATGGTATAAGTTGGATTTGGGCATTGTGATTATTATGTGATTTCCAAACCACCTTCTCACTTTCACTCGGAAATAGGCATTGAGATTATTATGTAATTTCCGAGATAAAGAGCTTATGATCACGTTCGACTATATACTGGTTTAGGTTGATGTCGATGGTTCTAAACCTGCAAGTGGCGCTCTATAACGTTGATCTATGACTTACTTTGTGTTCCGTCATGATTAGCGGTAAATTGGGTCTCCCCCGTCATATTTGGATATTTTAGTCTCGCCTCGAGTTTTTTTTTTGAAGCATAGTGTTCATTTTGTATCGTTCGGGGTTACGTTCTATATATATTCAAACATATTCTTGTTTGTTATTTACTYTGATTTTAATGGTTGGACTCACTAGGCGTAAGCTTAACACTTCTTCTTGACGTGGCTTGTTTATCAGGTTCCTTTAGCGGCGGGGTTCTTAAGGGTTGAGAGGAGCGCTGATTTGTGAAAGGCTCTTTTGTAGATATAGCCTTGTATCTTTTAGCGTTGCATCTTGTTATTTCGATATTTTTGGAGATTGATGGGAACACCCGTCTTTAATCTAGATAGAATAATCTAGGATTAGTAGGTTGTTATTTATCATCTCGTCATCTGAAATTTTTTTTGTAATCGCATTACTGTTACCCTTGCGGTGAAAACTTATTTTATTGCTCAAATTTAAGTTCTTGTTAAGCTTTCTTAGTTTAGCTTTTAAATCTTTTATTTGGGTGTTACAAGTTGGTATCAGAGCATGAGTTTAAGTGAACTAGGTGTGAGACTAAGACGCCTAGACTTAAACTGAGATTGTAAGCTTTAATTCGTGAGCTATGGGTAGAGACTTTTAAGATAGGAAAACACTAGGGACACTCCGTTCATGAATTGTGACGATAGTGTTAAGAATTCTTATGTAAAACCTATTCAAAATTTCACTTAGCTAATGTTATTTTGAGTAAGTTATTACACAAGCGTGCTTGAAACTTACTGTTATTACAAGAATTTATGAATGCATCGGTGCGTATTATGTTAGTTCCGTATTCGTTTCATAACTCCTTTCCACTCTCGTGTATGGCAGTCTTCAATGGTGAATACTCGGAATAGACGGGATACCTCACCGGAAGGCCTCGTGGTGACCGAATCCACCGCGGATCAACCGCCTCGGACCACAATCGCAAGAGTGCATCACAGGCAAAACGTCTCRGGTGATGGAGTTGGCCGCGCTTCCCAAGCTAACCTCGTCACCTCTAACCCTGTAATTGAAGAGGAAACCCTGGAGTCAAGAATGATGGGCACAATAATGGGCGTTATGAACAGAGTCATGGCCCAACAGCAAGAGTTCTTTATGAAATTGTTAGAGGAAAGAGACGCCAACAATCGTAAGCATGAAGCAGTTGCCGAGAACGTAACCATTGTGGGATCCGGGGGTACCGGAAATGGAATTCCAACTCAAGAACTAGCAACAATTGATGCAAGGCAAATGGGAAGGTTTTGTTCTTAAAACGTTCTTGAGTTGCAAACCACCGGAGTTTGTGGGGTCAGATAATCCCGTAGTATGCATGAACTGGCTTCGAGAGATCGAGCAGGCATTCCGGGCYTGTGACTGTGATGAAGGGCAAAAGGCAAAATTTGGCTCTCAAATGTTTAGGGGTGCGGCTCTTACTTGGTGGAACATCGTCATATCAACTATAGATGCTCAAGAGCTAGCCAAGATGATTTGGGCCACGTTTAAAGAAAAAGTATTGGAGGAATATTGCAACGAACAAGAAATGGACCGTATTGAAAAGGAGTTCCGGACCCTTAAGAAAGGAAACCTGTCAGTAAGAGACACACGACTATTCATGGAAAAACTGAATTTGGTGGGTCATGTGGCCCCGACGGAGAAAGAAAAGATGAAGGCTTATTTAAAAGGGTTGCCCGCAGACATGATGATAATGGTCAGGAATTCCAGAGCCTCCACCCTTAGGGAGGCAATTGAGGAAGCCAAAGTCATGGAAACGGTCTATGCTAAAGGAAGAGAAGAGAAAGGGGCAAGTGGTGAAAAGAGGAAATGGGAAAATCAGTACGCGCCTTCCAAGAGATCAAATCAGCACAGCAACTACAGTCGGGGAGTGTATCCTAGRCAGGAGGCTAGGTGGTGTTCCAAATGCCGCACTAAACACCATGGCCCATGCACCACCAACTCTACTCCTGCAAAATGCCTTAAGTGCGGAAAGACGGGCCACTCACGAAATGATTGCCCRATCAAARGACCTGTCTGTTTTGGTTGCGGAGAACCGGGCCACTTCAAGAGTGACTGTCCGAAGATGAAGATGGGAGGGGGCCAGGGAATGAAAGAAAATATCCCGAGAGCGGCCGGCCGAGCCTTTCAGATGACGGCCGAGGAAGCCAAGGCATCGACAGATGTGGTGTCGGGTACGTTCCTTGTTAACTCCGTACCTGCTCACATACTTTTTGATTCAGGTGCTTCATGTTCCTTTGTGTCCACTACTTTCTATCAACACTTACTTACGCCACCTAGTACACTAAAAGATGCGTTAATCATAGAGTTAGCCAATGGTAGTCAAATTATGGTGCGCGAAATTGTTAAAGGTTGCGTGTTGGGGATCGAGGGAAAGAAATTTCGAGTAGACCTCATACCCATGGCTATAGGTGGGTTCGATGTTATAATTGGGATGGACTGGCTAGTAGAGAACCAAGCAGAAATCTTATGCTCAAAAAAGTTAATCCGAATTCCCTTGCCGGATGGGGACGCAGTACAAGTTGTTGGAGAAGGAAGGAAAGGTAATGTAGTACTCTTATCCACGGCGAAGGCACGTAAGTGTTTAGCTAAGGGATGCTCCTCGTTCATTGCGTACGTGTTGGATGCCAAACTAGAGAAAAGAAAAATTGAAGATGTAAGAGTTGCCAATGAATTTCCCGATGTATTCCCTGAAGAATTTACCCGGCTTACCGCCCGATAGGCAGGTGGAGTTCCGGATCGACCTCATTCCGGGGACTGCTCCAATTGCTAGGGCTCCTTACCGCTTGGCGCCATCCGAGATGCAGGAAATGATGTCCCAATTGCAGGACCTCCTAGAGAAAGGGTTTATCAGACCGAGCTTGTCACCTTGGGGAGCTCCGGTCTTATTTGTAAAGAAGAAAGACGGCACCATGAGGATGTGTATCGATTACCGAGAACTCAACAAAGCAACCGTGAAAAACAAATATCCTCTTCCTAGGATTGACGACTTATTCGACCAACTTCAGGGCGCAAGTTGCTTCTCAAAAATTGACCTCTGTTCGGGGTATCACCAGGTTCGAGTGAAAGAAGACGATGTGGCAAAAACAGCTTTTAGAACGAGATAAGGGCACTACGAATTCTTGGTCATGCCTTTCGGGCTGACGAATGCACAGGCAATATTCATGGACCTGATGAACCGGGTGCGCCGACCATTCCTTGACAAGTTGGTAATAGTATTCATCGATGACATACTCGTCTATTCCAAGGACGAGACGGATCATGAACGACACCTTCGAGAAGTTCTCGAAGTGTTGAGAAGAGAGAAGTTGTATGCAAAATTCTCTAAGTGCGATTTTTGGCTAAATGAGGTTCAATTCTTGGGTCATGTTGTCACCCGAGACGGAGTGAAGGTGGATCCATCTAAAATCGAGGCAATGATGAATTGGGAACCGCCAAAGAGTCCATCTGAGATCCGAAGTTTCTTGGGTCTGGCAGGTTATTACAGAAGATTTATTCAAGACTTCTCCAAGGTCGCTTCCTCCTTAACGGCACTGACTAGGAAAAATGTGAAATTTATCTGGACTGAAAAAGAAGAAAATGCTTTCAGAACCCTACAAAAGAAATTATGTGAAGCTCCGATTCTCTCCTTGCCAGAAGGGTCAGAAGACTTTGTGGTTTTTAGCGACGCTTTGAAAATGGGGTTGGGTTGTGTTCTGATGCAAAGAGGAAGGGTGATAGCATACGCATCAAGACAACTCAAGGAACACGAGAAGAATTATCCTACTCACGACTTGGAGCTAGCAGCAGTGGTGTTCGCTTTAAAGCTTTGGCGGCATTACCTCTATGGTACTAAGTGCACACTTTTCACTGATCATAAGAGTTTGAAGTACATTTTTGATCAAAAGGATTTGAACATGAGGCAACGTCGTTGGCTGGAGCTGCTCAAAGACTACGATTGTGAACTGCTATACCATCCRGGAAAGGCAAATGTAGTGGCGGATGCTTTGAGCCGAAAGGAGTATGGTAGCGGGACGAAAGCTATGCTTACCAGGATTGATTTAGTATCCAGTCTGATCGATCGAATCAAGGTGGCGCAAACTGAAGCACTCCTAGAAGAGAACCTCAAGAGTGAAATAATGTCGAAACAACGATTACTGCTGACAGAGGATGGTCGTGGCTTGAAGTTGTTTCAAGGGCGTATATGGGTACCTAAGGTTGGGGGAAATCGTGATCTGTTGCTAGAAGATGCGCACAAGTCTAAATACTCCATTCACCCAGGTAGCACCAAGATGTACCGAGATTTGAAATTGACATATTGGTGGCCTGTTATGAAGC